AACCTCTTCTATAGAAGAGGTTAGAGCTGGCAGGAACCCACCCCTAGTTCAACCTCAAGGATCACATTAGCTGTCCTTTAGTATTTAAGGAGCAAAGCAAACCCGAGCCGAGCCGAGCCGAGCCGAGCCGAGCCGAGCCAAGCCAAGCCAAGCCAAGCCAAGCCAAGCCAAGCCATGGCCAAGCCATGGCCAAACAGCAAACTTTCCTATTTTGTTTTTGTTCTTTGTTTACCTCCTGAGGCTCCCTGTGAGGACTGTCAAGGTGCAGAAGAATTACACGGTCCTTTGCTCCCACCATCAGCCAAGCCCTCTTCTCATCCAGGAGGAGGGACTGGAATGCAAGGTCAGCCTCTGAGTTCAACAGCAGGCGGGAGCTGTTTGATCTCAGCAGGTCTAGAAGGTAGAGTGTAGACAAAAAATGGTGATTTTTATCTTTGTAGTCCCTCAAAAGGGATAAGCATTTATCTAACTTTTCTTTATCTTTGAAAACCGGCCAAAGAGATTAATTGTAAAAATATCAACATATGGATCAATGACTCTGCTCTGATTTTTTTTAAAGCCAGCAGACTGCTTATGAAAGGAAAGGAAACATTTTGGTTGCAATTTTATACCTCCGATATATTCTCATTGGATTTAGGCTGCAGGCTTATAAATGTTCTGGAAGGCAGTAACATGAACTTCCTTCCAAATAGAAGCCAGTCACCCCAAGTCCAAGGAACTCTTGTGGTAATTCCTGGAATTACCAAATGGCTTCCAAGTTGACCTTTGAAGAAGACATAGAAACCTCAGCTCTGAAGAGGGGCTCCAACATCTCCGTATACTTTGGCAGCCTTAATATGAAATGTTGTCTTCACAAAGTTTGAAGGGAGTGCTTTTTATTAGAACTTTTTGAGGTTCATCTCTTAAGATATTATCAATTCAGCCTTTTTTGTTCTTTCCCATTTTGGCCAAGCTGATGAAGCAGAATTCAGTATTTGAAGGCACTTCATCCCACCCTCCTACTAAACGGGAGGCTTTTTCTTTCTTTCCACAGAGAAATTTCTTAATGGCCTAGTGACATTAGCTGCCACATTATAGCCTAAATAAAGTCAGAAGTGTAATTAGGTTTCAGATACGCACTGAAATCACGACTTCGGAATGGCCTGTTTTCCTTCCCACTCCTCTCCCCTGGCTCCCAATCTTTCTAGCAAGAATTCAATACCAATCGCTGAAAACATGCTACTTGGTCAAGGGGTGTAGCAATTCAGGGGTCAAAGAGGAAACCAATTCATGCTTTGCTACCTGACTTCCTCTCTAGCCCGTTTCTGCAGGACATTCCATGCCATCGTATTTTCAGAGAGGAGAGCAAACTTGGCATCTTTTCAAAAAAAAAAAAAAGCCCTTAGCTGCATCTGTTTATTTTTATTTCTACAAAGAGCATGGAGCCTACCAGGGGCCTAAAGACAATATTTAAAAATAGCAATGGAGGCTTGATTGCATGCCATTGTTGGAAAGCAACAATAGAGAGTTCTGTAAATACACTAGCATTGAGTATGACAGATTCCTGAAGTTTTTATCCCTTTAGTAGCTCGGAAAGGTGAAGAATGGCCTTGTTTCACCAGAGCGGCAACTGCAGGAAAGCTGATATTAAAAGTAACATCTTTATGAGCTGTAGTGGATAGCATAAGAACAATAAATAGGAGCCATGAGCCATTAGAGAGTAATGTTGCAAGCTCCATATGGAATTGTTAGTGGAAGTGGGTACCACTTGAGAATGAGCTTACTCATTAAAAGCTATTATTATAGACATATGAATCCAGCACTGCAGTTGATATACATCATCCTAAGCTGTATGGCAACCCCGAGTCAGCATTTGTTGTCGTGGAACAAAACTATCCTATTTACTGGCTTGTCTGAATCTTTGCAGCCCAGATTTGATGCTCTGCTAAAGGAAGCAGCTACGGAGGGGGGCATAGAGGATAGCAATAGTAGTTAGAATTATATACCACTTCATAGTGCTTTTTCAACCCTCTGTAAGCGGTCCACAGAGTCAGCATATTGCTCCAACAATCTGGGTCCTCATTTTACCAACCCTGGAACGATGGAAGGCTGAGTCAATCTTGAGCCGGTCAGGATTGAACTGATGGCAGTTGGCAGAATTAGCCTGCAATGCTGCATTCTAACCACTTTGTCATCATGGCTCATGAACAAATACCTTGGAGGTGGCTACTGCTAGGCACCCCTCATTATTATTTTTATCAATTTGGATCCAAAGTTCGGGAAGCAAGCTTTTGAACTGTGTCAAATCCTTTCCAAGGCCATAAAGTTGGACCTTGTAACAAGAAACCAAATGGGGAAACATTCCTAGCCCACCTCTGCTGTTTAGGAGAAAGAAAGAGCATCCTCTGCTCAGCCAGCCTGCTGCTAGATGAGAATCTCTGTATCTGCATGCTACAGCTTTGGTGGTCTCCCTGATTGCCACTTGGGAAGGATTTGTTTCACTGCCCCGGTGTGCTATTGTTCTTGGCCTCCTTCTCTCAAGCACATCTTTCCTTTGCAGCCCTTGCCTTGGGTTGTCTCATTTCCTCTTGGCAGGCCCATCTGTTTCTTTCTCTCTCCCCTTCCTCTTCTGCTCCAGGACAGAGGGCGTCACTGGAAGCTTTCATAATGTAAAGCCTGTCATCCTCTTCACCCTTGAACTTGGCTTGATATCTCTGAGTCACACCTCCTGCCATTGTCTGGGCTGCCCCCGTGATCCTCCTAAGGCTGGGAACTTCCTTCAGTAAAGACCAAAAGAAAGCATCTTTAACATGATCTGCTAGACCTTAGGGCACCATGAACTGGGAGAAAGTTGCTCCTCAGCTTCGTGCTTTTCAAAGAAATCCAGATCTATTGGTTTTTTCTGTGGGCTGCCAAAATAACTCGTAGCAATATATCTCAAAGCAAATGTTTTGCAAATGTTTAGATCAATGGCCTGCAACAATATCTGGGGTGTCTAGCTGAATTCCAGGTTGTTGTTCCAGGTTTGTCTATGTTGAGTTCCAGGTTGCCATCTTCCTCTCCAGTCCAAAACATGATTCAATCCTCAAGCTGCTTTCAGCTCTCCAATAATAGTTTGCTGAGTCCCATATCAGTTATTACACAGACCCAAATTATAGAGAGGACTGCCATTCAGGAGTATCATTGTTCCATCCAATTGATTGATATTTACTTTAGCAGAAGAATCAACAAACATTCTCTTGAATTTCTCTATTTTTAAATCAAGCCTGATCTTTTATCAATCAGTTGTACCATAATGAAGTTGTGTAACTTGGATTTATTTTAAGATAGGAGCTGGCTTGCATGTGTATCTGTATGTCAGAAAACAATCTGCATATGTAAGTATAGGTAGTCCTCAATTAACAACCACAATTAGGACTGGTAGCTCAGTCATTGTGAAGCAGTTGCTAAGTGAAACTACAACTGTGCTTATATTTTACTTTAGCTTTCATTTCCTTTATGAAGGCCTTGAATTGAGGAATTGAGGAATGATCATAAAGTTACTTTTTAATCATAACTGCAAATGTTCACTAAGTGAGGCAATCCCTAAATGAGGATTACCTGTAGCTGTTATACTAGTATTTCTTTTAGGAAGAATTTAAGATTTCCTCTCAGGGAACATAACAATACTATGGAAGAGTGGGAATTAGCAACAGTCCAATTATTTGGAAAGCACCTGGATGACATTGATAATTGGGGCATTTATGTTGTACTTACCTAGAATGGCCCACTTGGTTTGTTTGCTAGCCAACTGAAATTAGAATGTAAGGAAAAAGAGAGAATTCCCTTTCTGAGACTTTCTTTTCTGAAAGCTTCAGTTTCAGCAGAGGTCAGAAAATGAAGGTATGGATTAGCAAATACCAGAAAAAGAGAAGGAACAGCATACAAAGGTAAGACCGAGGAGAGGGGAAGCAATCTGCATTAATTAGACCACAATCCTTAGCACACAGTAAAAGAGTAACATGAAACATACCTTGGTATGAGAGGCGAAGGCGGGGGACCCCTTCCCTCCAGGAACAGGTGTTCTCAATTGTTAGCAGAATATGCCAAGCCACCAGGACTAGCTTGGTGATGAAGCAATAGCACATGCCAAAAGTCAATCTGACCATCCCTTCTGCAGCCAAAAACACCTAGACCAGTCAGAAAGTCTTATTCACAGAGGCATTCTCTACTCAAGAAAAGACGTCTGCTAAGTACCTGCAAGGGAAATAGAAAAGAATCCTTACAAAAGACATAGCCAAAAGGAGAACATGCAGTGGTGCCGATGCTTCTGGTCAGTCTTACTGGAACATCACTGGGTTTGCTGGCTTCTGAACTAGAATTATGCTGACAGTTAGCAAATATCTCAACTATTTTGAGCCTGAATTTCATACTTTCTTCATTAAATGAAAACTTGATTTTTTTTAAAAAATGGAGATGATCACTATATATTTCTTCTCCCTCTGTGGACCATTTTATTTCTCAAGTCCTTGCTCAACCTTGAAAAACTGCTGATCAACCGTAGCAATACAGAATTTCCTATAGAATGTACAAGGTTAGCCAAGGATCCATGTGTCTTTATTAGTCTTGCAACCCAATGCAAGTATATTCAAAAGCAAACATATCTTTAATTACGATTATGGCATTCGTACTTCTACTTAACCCACCTGGATTGATAGAGATACTAGAATTTTAGAATATTTAACTCTAATAATATCCATCCAACTAAAGGTGCTACATATGTATATTTCAAAATTGAAAAATCAACCCTGCATTAAAAATTGGGGGAAAAGATGTTATGGAAAAATGTGATGGAAGTGGGGATATTGACTTTAGACCAACTGAAGATGAATTTTTAGTATGCAGTATGCTGTGTCAAGATATATTTTATCAGATGTAGTCCAATGTCAATATTTACAGCTACAATATTTGTTAACAACATTTTTTGGCCCAGCAGTATTTTCAGCTTCTGAGGTACTTGAGCTATTAGATCCTTTAAAACAAAACAAAAAATCATATTATTTTTATAGATATTTGTAATTAATAAATCAATTTGATATGCAGATGCTTAGAAAGGAATGGAATAAAGAATTAGAAATTCCTATATTGCCTAGACAATGGGAAAGTCTTAACTTCTATAACAAGAGTGTCACTCAAGTTACAATTTGCAACCAACAAAATTAATGCTTATAATAGAGCCCAATATATTTGTATAGAAAAGTACTGTCAAAAGCAGCATTTTGTTGAAGATGCAATAAGGATAATGCTTCTTTAAAACACGTCTAATACTTGCTAAATTTTTGGAAAAAGATTATATAGTTATGATTGTGTAAGAAAAACTAATTTTCAGAGGATAGTATTTGCTTGAACTACATACCTAGTACTAGAATTTGACAACATACAGCATAAATGGATTCCCTGTGCCCTTTTCCCATTTTAAACAGTTAACTATGGCCAAAGGACTTATATTGCAGCCCTGAAAAGTGTATGGCCCCATTTACTCAATGGATTGAGAATCAAATTACACTTGCTACCTTTGAGCAGATTGCCTATAGACACAGAGGTTGTATCAACAAGTATACTGAAATATGGGAGTCATTTACATAAAATACAGTGGGTTCAAAATATGACAGTTATATAAGTATAATAGAAATACATATGTATTCCAATAACAACATTAGGTAAGTATATGCAATATTGTAACTGTTTACTGTTAAAATAATTTATCATAGGTTTTTTTTGTTTTCTCCTTGTGTTTCTTTCACTTTTTGTTAAATCATGTCTTGCTATTAATTTAAGGGCAGTGAAAAATAATTTTAGCTGCCTTTTAAAAACCAACCTGTATTTACAGGGAGCATCTCTCTACAAATCTACTCCCATAGCGGCAAAATTCTTTGACATCCGTTGAAGGAGCAAGACATTTCATAGGGAAATCCTGCCTCTCATTCTGCTCAAGTAATTTCCTTCTCTCCTCTCTATTCCTCTTATTCCTTTATATAGGATAATGAATATTAAAGCTATCTCAGCTATTAGCTATTTGCTAATTGTCAGCCTCCCAGGCTGATCAAACAGGAAACATGACTAGTTGAGCTAATTCTATTTCATTGCAAGGCTAAACTAACAGAAATTTGTTAAGACTGAAATCTTCCATCTTCCCACCTCTTTTTATAGCCTGATAAGTTAGGGTGGATCCTTTCTGAGTTTCTTTCTCTGCTTGTTATGCAGCTGCAAACTCCCCCCACCTTAATCTTATTGTTCTCTAGGCAGCATCTCTTCCCCACAGTCACCCACCCACCCTTCTTCCAAGGTCACTCCTGCATGCCATCGCATCAATGTTTAAAGTCTTACCAATGTGTATGCGTGTGTGTTTTAAACAAAATGGTCATCCAAATAGAAAGGATGAGGTTTGTTTTGACATTTGTCCCCTAAGTTTGTATTGGGGATGACTTCTGACTGAGAATAAATTCTGGCTCTCAATCTGCAAGAAAAGAAGTTCAGATCTTAACACAAAAGGAGACAGGAAACAGGAAGAGCAGAGTGCTTCTGATCTTTTGCATTACTGATTGATGTTATCATCAGTTCATCATTTAATATAAACACAACACGTGAGATCGTGTTTGAAGGCAAGCTGTTAGGACAGAGGATAGTTCTTAATAAAATATGCCAATTAGCTTTTCCATATTATTCATACAGTAGCTTTCTCCAGGACCCAAGAATGAGTGGAATAGCACCATCAAACCTGGCATGATTTTCAGTACTTATGTGATATTCAGAAATGAAAAGGAAAATAAAATTCTTAGAAAGTTATCTTTTTTTATGGATTTGAAAAACCAAACACTTACAGCAGAGGTGGGTTGCTACCGGTTCAGCCCGGATCGGGCAAACCGGTAGTAAAATGAATTGCAACCCACCACTGACTGACAGATATCAATAATCAAAATATTACATGATTGAAAAACAAATGAACAGGGAATTAGTAAGAAATAATATCAATTATCCTGTCACTTTTCTTTCTTTCTTTCTTCCTTCCTTCCTTCCTTCCTTCCTTCCTTCCTTCCTTCCTTCCTTCCTTCCTTCCTTCCTTTCTTTCTTTCTTTCTTTTAATCTCCAACATCCTTGCTCATAGAACTGAAAATACTAGAAGGTATTCATGAATTTAGGAATTTAAAAGTAAACGAAAACTAATCTGTCTGATTTAGAAAGTATTGTAATGACACATCTGACCATGGCATTAGAACAACATTCTGTAATAATAGCTTTGCCATAAAAGCTATTTCAGCAAATGCTGAAAATACCATATTTTTCGGAGTATAAGACGCACCGGAGTATAAGACGCACCAAGATTTTGAAGAGGCAAATTTAAAAAAAAAAGTTTTTGCACTCTGCAGACCTCCCAAAAATGGCCCGTTTTTTGTGAAAAGGGGCCTGTTTTTTGTCAAAAAAGGGCATGCATAGCCTTTAGGAGACGTATAGAGTGCTCCTGGGGACTGGGGGGGGGGGCAAAAACGAGCAAAAAATTGCCTTTTTTTTTTGCTCATTTCTGCCCTCCCCAGCCCCCAGGAACACTCTGGAAGCCTCCTAAAGGCTATGCATGGCCATTTTTGCAAAGGGGTAGCGTTTCAGGAGGCCAAAAATGCTGTATTCAGGGTATAAGATGAACCCAGATTTTCACCCTCTTTTTGAGGGAAAAAGGTGCATCTTAAAAAAAAATGGGTCCTCTGCCAAGCTCAGGAAGATCCTATATAAAAGAATTGTAGAAGACAACATTAATAACCGGGTATTTTCTATAGCACAGAAAATGTCTACAGTAAGCAAATAAATATTTTCTGCAATTATTTTAAGTTATTTGACAAAATTCATCTAAAAAAATGCTCTACATTTCCCTTCAGATCTGAAATGGGTTAAGTAAAACATGGCCTATGTCAGAGGTGGATTCAATTTTTTTTACTACCGGTTCTGTGGGCATGGCTTGTTGGGCATGGCATGGCTTGGTGGGCGTTGCAGGGGAAGAATACTGTAAAATCTCCATTCCCTCCCCACTCCAGGGGAAGGATACTGTAAAATCCCATTTCCTTCTAATTAGCTTGGACTGGGAGACAGAGAATAGATGGGGTAGAGCCAGTCAGAGGTGGTATTTACCGGTTCTCCAGAACTGGTCAGAACCTGCCTAATACCACCTCTGGCCTATGTTCACATGATACGCTGAACCACAAAATAGAATAACAGAGTTGGAAGGGATCTTGGAGGCTTTCTAGCCTAAACCCACTGCTCTAGCAGGAAACCTTACATTTCAGACAAACGGTTGTCCAATCTCATCTTAAAACCCTCCAGTGTTATTTTATAATAAATATTTTATTTATTTATTAAACAAATGTATGCAGCTGCCCAACTCACCTACAGTGACTCCTTAAATCACTTTAAACTAACCATTCCTGTTTTAAATTAGTAGCCTGTAAAATGGGGTCAGTTTATGGATCAGTGTGTACTGTAAACCCAGAAAATTGAAGTTTCTTGAATAAGGTCTGCTTAACCAAACTATTGAGAAGTGCATTTTATGGATGCAATTAATTCTGGAATTACATGAAAACATTTTCCTTTTTCAAAGAGAAGATGGAAGATGGAGTCAGGTGTGGACCACAGTGATGTAGAAGGGGATTATGTACTTTTTCTCCCATGCTATGACTTTCTACCTTTGCTAATCCACTCTTCAATTTCACTAACTTTCTGAGTATCACTGTCTTATTTCGGGGGTGGGGAGACCATGATTTTAGTGGAGAAGTGTCAGATTTTAATGCTAAAAATCAAGTGTAAATGCACTGTGTGTGATTATCCATATTTCAGGGAGCCTAACATTTCTCTAGTTATACAACCAGAAGGATATAAGACAGAGGTGGGTTCCTACCAGTTCGCACCTATTCGGTAGAACCGGTTCGTGAAATCTACCGAACCGGTTAGAAGAGGTTCCACCAGTGGACCCGGAAAGCAGGCCACACCTACAGAAGAGGTTCCAAAAATTTTTGAAACCCACCACTGGTCCTTGGATCTGATTATTCTACACTATCATGCTCATATTTATAAAACTCAGTGCCTTTGTGAAAGGTAAGGATGACTACTGTGTTTGTGGTGCAATCAGAACATTGCGTGTGTTGAAGTTGTTTTAACGCAAACCAAAGATGCCTTTTAAAAAACAAGTTTACATCATATTCTTATGCATGCCA